CTCAGTGGGCAAAAGCTAGGAATGGAAATTCCTGCTATAGCACCTGGGGCAGGGTCCAAATACCTATATTGGTTGTTGTTGTTAGCCTTAAAGGAGAGTGTCATTACCCTTTCATGCAGATTTAATTTGCTTTCTAAATTCAAGTTTGATAATGTGAATGACAGTAAATAAATCTTTGTGGAAGTGTAGACTTATTTCTGAGAGGTCTCCAAATTCGTGCTAATATGAAGACTTTAGTAAGTTCATTAGGAGTATATTAGGATCTTTTTTCAATAATCTCAAAGAACCAAATTGGTTTGCAAACACCTTTTACCAGACATTGACTCTTGCTTCAAAAGCTCTTGAGCAGGGCTGGGTGGATTACAAATTTATCCCATGCACTGGTGCTGCTGCTTAAGCATCTTATGTACTGAGAGGTTAGAACATCAAAGAGAGGGCACCAAATGTCTGTATTGCAGTTTATTTTAAGTTGGTAATTAAGGGCCAGAGTGTAGCAAAAACGATTTTTGAAAAGTCATTTCATCTTTATTTGGGGTTAATTGCATTAATGCTCACAGCTTGACAGGTTTGGTTCATGACAGGAATTTTAAAAATAAAGTTGTGGGGGTATATGCAGCTTCAGCATTGTCTGAAAGTCCTAATTCCCATGTCATCCTGTTGTTCATGCTCATGAAACCTCCTGTAAAACAGCACCTTTGAGCAGGTTTTATATTTTTAAAGGCAGTGTAATTGTGTGCTGTTTTTTCCTAAGTGGAACAAAATGGGAAGATTATGATGAAAATCTGCACACAGATTTAAGCAGAAAGGAGAAGCAGGATGAGGGATCAGGGGACAGAGTGGTACCACAGGCTTTTGTGTCCTAGCGTAGACCTCAATGATGCTTATTATTGCCCTGAGACCATCCTAGGGTGGCTTGAGGGTTTGAGCCCTTGGAGTTGAGCTAACAGCAGATGTCAATAGTGCCACGAAACAGAATTGTCTCTCCTAACCTTGTGAGGCCCCACAGTGTTCTGTTTTGCCTTCCCTGAACTTTACTGCTTGCACTACAAAATATTACGAATATTGGTTGCAATCGTGTAGTCAATATATGAGGGCAAATTATGAATTAAAGCATGGGTCAGGACACAGATCTGCTAACCTGTACAATTAGGCATTTTGTACATCTGCACAATAACCACCTTTTACTGTTGCAGGTTCAGCGACCAAAAATGATCAAAGCTTTAATTTCATTAGCTATCACTAGGAACTTTGTGGTGTGTCCTTTCCTGTATGTCTCTTTTCCTGTATGTCTAATCAAAAGTCATATCTAGGAGCAATGCTGCTTTGTAGATTTAAAGGAAGATTGATCCTCTTGTCCTCTGGTCTCACAGGTAGACAGAAGAATTCTCTATTCATGTGAACTTCATATAAGCTACTTTGTAAAGAGAAGCAGCAATTCAGCTAAGCCTCATTCAGTTCATTTTGGCACAGATGATAACACACAAGGAAACCTGAGAGAATCCACTTGGGATCATCTTTTCCTATTGTGTTGGTAGCAAACCTTTGTTCTCTTTAATACTTATTATTCTGGATCTGTGATCAATAATATAAGGAAAAGCATCAATCTGCCACACATCAAGTCTTCTGTTTCCTTTTAAAGTGACATTCTCCTCAGATCCCTGTTGTGTAGGCTTATTCCTTATCAGAAATGGATGCTGTGTTGCTCCTATGACTCTACATCAAACAGATCTGCAGTAGCTGTGTCTTGTGTTCCCATGGCAGTGGTACATACATCTACAAAGACCTTTCCTGAGATCTCTCTCTTCCCTGCCTTTTCCCCATAGAATAGAAATCTGGGTACTGCAGCCTTTTGAAACCATTTGGGTATCCTACTGGCTTTCCCTTGATGAGTTTTGTGATCTCTTTTCTGTCCCCAAGAAACTTGGATATTATTTAGGCATTTCAAATTAACCCAGTTGCAATCAGGTTCTGAAAGTGCAAGTCAAGGAAAGACTAAGATTGATGTGAATGGGTATTGCATCAGCCATGTATTAAAGCACCAAAATTACCCAAAATTGCATTTACCTGCTCTTTGCATCATCAGCTTTCTTTGCTCTTCCTATTCAACACTCTCCAGGCTCAAGCGACATGTACTCATGCACTTGGGTCAGCTGGGAAGGTGAAGTCCAGGTGGCACTTGCTTCTTGTTTCTTTTATCACTTGCTTCATTTGCAGAAGGGGAATATTGATGGGGAAAGCAGCTGGGAGTAGTGGTGAGGGAGGGCTTGAGTACATATGGCTCTGCCTTCTGAGATGGAGCCATCTGAGGTCATTGCTCAGACACAGAGTAACTTGTGAAGCATGAAGAGTAATGGTGCAGAAGGTGTAAATTCAGTTTAAAGATACTCTGGATCATAGGCAAATTTAAAACAAACACAAAACCAAACAAAAAAAAGTCCCAGCAAATCCCTTGTGCTCTGTTAAAGAAGAAAATGCTCATCATCCTTAATTGTTCAATCTAGTTAGGTGGTAGAGAAAACAAAAAGGCACTGAGGACAGCAGGCACAGCATAGAAGCATGTAAACTTTTCCTAGTGGTTGGTTGGATTTTCCTGGCATAGGACAGGGCTGTTCCCTGCACTGTTTCTCTAGCTACAAAGCTCCTTTTCTTTTCTTTTAGAAAAGAAACTTGAAAATTGGATTATATTTTATCTTTGTGTTTAAATTTGGATATGACTTGACCACAGTGCACAGATGCCATTGGAGATTTTCCTGGCTGATTTCTCTCCCAAGAAGTGTTGTGTGAGGGAATAGCCATTACCCACTGCCAAGCCTGGCACTGATACTGGCTGAGGTTATTGGAATAACCCCACGGATATTTGTCACCAATCTATCCCAGTGTAAGATGGAAACTTTTTCCATTTAGTATGTGTGTTGATGTTAAAGTCCTTTAAACACCGATGGTGTTGGGCAATACTGGAGGAGGAGGAGGAAGATACTGGCCACAGGCTCTAAATAATTCCAAGGGGTGAAAAACCCTTGGGTGGGTATATGGATGCTGGATTTTAAAGTAGAGCCCAAATCTTTATTTGCTTCTTGTTATAATAATCCATATCCTCCCCTGCACCAGCTCACTTTGTAACAACTTCTAATAACAGGTGAAACAGTTGTTGTTTCCCCTGTGTGAAATCAAGACTCAGAGGGATTTAGACTCCCTGGCAGCAGCATAGCCAAGGGGTACCTGCTCCAAGAGGAGCTGAGCTGCTTTTGCTATATGTGTAAAAGGAAAAAGTGTCATCTTGGAGACACAGGTCCAGAGCCTGTCTGCAACAGGCAGTCAATCATCTGTCTGCAGAATTACATCACCCCAGCTACGACACCAGAGCTCACTATGCATGAGCGTCGGCTCCTGCAATACGAAGAAGGATGATTAATAAGGAATGAAATGGGGTTTGTGAATACTAACACTATGCTGTGGGCATGCAGGTGTCTTCCTGCTGTGAGGAGCACTTGGGACAGGCAAGCAGTGTCCTCAGGGAAGCAGTGCCATCAATGCTGTGGGAATTTAGCTCCCCCATCTAGTCCTTATGCAAGCTGTTCCTGCCCCCTTTCCATTCATCTCATTGCACAAGAGATATTGCTCTTACAGCTTCGTCTTGCTAATGATTTTAGCCAAAACTCTGCTCTGAGTAGTTTCTTCAGCAAGGTGCTGATGGTGGTATATGAGGCTCCCTGCAGCTTCTGTCCCCAAAAGCTTAGGAAGTGTCAAATCTTTTGAGGGGATCTTAAAAAGATTAATCATCCTTTGACTTCCACCCTCCTTTGGCTTGTATAGGAAAGAGCTCATAAATGAAAGGTGCAGCTTGGCAGCGTTAACAGTTTAAAGCCCAGAAGGGCAGGGTGCTGCTTGAGGCAAGGCTGGAGTCTCCCGTGGGTTATTATTTCAGTGTTTATTTGCTGTGGGCTGTTTGTGAGGAGCTCAGCTAGAATGTGCAGCTTTGTTTTTCTCATGCAAGTGCTGCGTTAATGGAGTTAGTTTTAAGAGCAGAGGAAAATCATCCCTTTAGCAGGTGTTGGGCAGGCATTTAACCCATATGATGCAACAGCCAAGGGGGAAATTTAGAACAGAGAGATGGCTCTGTGCTGTGGGTATCTACCACGATCTGAGCTGGAAGAGGAGTTGGTACATCTATTTTACTGGGGGGGTTGGTGTGAGGCTCTGACACAGGTTGCACAGAGAAATATTGTGGCTGCCCCATTCCTGGAAGTGTTCAAGGCCATGTTGGACAGGGCTTGGAGCAACCTGGTCTAGTGAAAGGTGTCCCTGCTCAGGGCAAGGAGTTGGAATTAGATTATCTTTAAGTTCCCTTCAAGTTGTTCTCTGTTTCTACAGGACTATTCTGATTCTTGGTGGGGATTTTTTCCCTCCTCTTGCTGGCTCCCAGAGGTGCTTTTTTTTTTTTTTTTCAAGTAGGATTTCTGCTGTCTAATTTGAGCACGGGGAGAAAACGCTGAGAGCTTTGTTCCCTGTACGGCAGATAACGAGGTGTGGGTGGCAGATCGCACGGGGCGTGTGAGCAGTTTCCTTCTCCTCCTGCAACCACTGAACGGGGTTGTTGTCAGGGCATATGGCAAAAGGGTTAAAATTTAATTAGAAAACATAGTGCTAGCTACTGGAGCTTAACAGAGCTTTATATAAGCTGCTAAGAAGG